ATATATATATATATATATATATATATATATATATATATATATATATATATATATATATATATATATATATATATATATATATATATATATATATATATATATATATATAAGGGACCTCAAATATTACATTATGTTATAGAAAATCAGATTTATTTGTCATTATGGGATATATTAATTTACACTTTAGAAAGAGCAGTAAATTAAGTTTCCAAGCTGCGGACTAGTGTAGCTCAATCAACTATAAAAGCAGAGTCCATAATAGCTCCACAAACTTACAATGAAATATTTTGGAGGAATTCATCACAAGTAGAAAAGTATTCTTTTATGTTGTGATAAAGTGGTTTACACATAGAAAGAATCCAACCTCCCATTCGATGACAAAAGCATATACAATTTTAATATTGTTTTATTTGAGAAATAGTAGAGCATGGCATTATAGATATATTGAGTATTAAAGATTAAGTTTAAACTATCATCTTTTATAGTGAATATCTTTTAGTTTTGTCCTTTGAAATTTCTTTTAGTCAATTGAAAATATTATTATTTTAGTTAATTTTATTAATTTAATTAGATATTGCTTGTTGGCTTTGGTTTTGTTTCTTTTTCGTAACAATTGTTGTTATCTTAGATAACGATGGAAATATTCTCATGTGAGACACGGCCCCCAGTTTGAGCACCAAGAACACAAATGTAATGAAAAGTGAATCCCACACCTAATTAAGATTCAGGATGGAAAATACTTGTTAAATATTTTTATGATAATAATTATAAGAATATATTGGAGTCGGGAGTACATCAACATAGCGTGCGAGATCGACTCCCTCGGCTCCCAACAGTGGCAGTATGATGCCCCCTCCTTGTAATCTGCGGAGCTGCTGCTGCCACCACATTCCTGCATTGGTTGGGGTGACTGACGTCTTAACCGGGACAGGGGGGAAAGCTATCAGTCAGCTTCCAATCACGTGTGGGTCATGCATCCAGCTTCTATTCCTCGGCCTCATTTAAGGAAATCCAAATCATCCACAGCACCTGCTTCCTTCCCAACCAGACTGACCAAGACTTGTAAGTTCGATCCCCGCAACTAACATCCCCGCAGTCCCCCCCGCTCACAAACCACCCGTCTTCCAGTCAACTCTTCTCTTCTCTTCTTCTTCTTCTTCTTCTTCTTCTTCTTCTTCCCCCGTAGACTCTCTAGCCATCTATATACCATCCGCCGACCATCTTCCTCGACCTCACTTCCCACTCTACACCGATGAGGAACCCTTGCGACAAGCGCGGCACCAACAGGGGAGCCTGGTCCAAGGAGGAGGACCGGAAGCTCATCGACTACATCAGACTGCACGGGGAAGGCTGTTGGAGGTCACTCCCCAAGGCTGCAGGTGTTACTTGTACGCTTCCCTTTTTTGTTTCATTGGCTACGGGTTCCTGAGAACGTGATTCTTTCCCATCAGGTCTGCTTCGGTGCGGCGAGAGTTGCAGGCTCCGGTGGATCAACTACCTTCGTCCGGACGTGAAGAGAGGCAACTTTAAAGAGGATGAAGCCGACCTCATCATCAAGCTCCACGCGTTGCTCGGCAACCGGTACGCCTCCTTATCCTCCAGAACTCGAGTATATTATGATTGAATTGTTTTAGGTGGTCGTTGATAGCTGGGAGGCTGCCGGGGAGAACGGACAACGAGGTGAAGAACTACTGGAACTCCCACCTGAGGAAGAAGCTCAAGAGCATGGGTGTCGATCCTGACAACCACCGGTTGACCCAGAAGGCGCCGCTCCGTCGATCTCGGAGCTCACACAGTGCATCTCTGTCGACTGATGCCGTGACAAGCCACGAGAACATGAAGAAGTGCAGCTCCACTGTGTTGCCTGATCTCAACCTCGACCTAACGATCTGCACTCCATCCTCTCTTGAGGGACAGAGGCTTGACAGGACTGCCACCCCGACGCTTCTTCTCTTTCATTGACTTTGGTCGACTAGTGTTAGCTCATATGTCTGTGTGACGTCAATGGTGGAGTGAAGGTGATCCAGGAGAGGACACATGCATTGTAGTCTGAGGAAATCACAAAAGATATTGCTGCTATGTCAACCCTTCGATCTGATCTTATCCTCTCTCTGTTGCTGTGTCAGTTCAAGCCAGAGTTGAAGAAAATGAATGCTTGACGGTACAAAAGGTTGATATGTTGCGCAAGCGTGCGCGGCTTGTTGAGGCGACAGCTAACATATAGTTCGAGTCAACTTACGCGGTAGGACATAATGTGACAACAAAGAGAATAGCAGACGAACTTTATGGCATCACAGAGTTAGAGTTAGAATGCACCTGAGATATAATGCGATGCATGCGCGGGCGGCTGATCCACATCAACCCGTTCCTACTTTCCCGTCTCCCTCCTCGCGTGGAGCTCAGAAAGGCATCAGAATCTTCGGATCCGCCTCCAGTTTGGCGCTGGACCACTCATCGTGCACATAGTCTCGTGTGAGGGCTTAGTACTCCTATACTTGGACGTGGCGTCTCGTGTGAGGGCTTAGTTCTGCTATCCTTAGGACGTGGCGTCTCGTGTGAGGGCTTAGTGCTACTATACTTAGGACGTGGCGTCTTGTGTGAGCGCTTAGTGCTCCTATACTTAGGACGTGGCGTCTCGTGTGAGGGCTTAGTGCTGCTATACTTAGGACGTGGCGTCTCGTGTGAGGGCTTAGTGCTGCTATACTTGGGACGTGGCTAATGATGACAAATTTAGTTCGACATGTCCCGTATGATGTGGCTCGATCTCGTGGTGACGGGGGCCCGCGCTGTCCGAGCTACAATGGCAGAGGCCACATAGAGCTGCCGGTTGAGTTGACGGGTAGAGAGAAATCTACTATTGTCAGCATACGAGCCCGGCCATTCCTCTCTTCCCTTCATTCTCGACATCTACTCCTCAAAGCCATGTGTACCGAGGCATGTTCTTGCTGCTGGTTGGTAGTCGGAGACACTCACCGTATATTTCGTGGAGTTAAACTCAGCAGAGAGGCCGTGGTTGGCTCACAGCGGTGCATGGATGGAGCAAAAGAGATATGGCGGTGAATGCGAAGATTCGGCGGCGCCATGGATGGCGTTGGGGTACGATTGTTCTCGGCAACTGTCTCTTGTTTCCGAGTACTGATTCGTGCAGGTCTGACAACATCCATTCTAACCGCAGGGATGTCTCCTTTATCCTCTTCCCTATGACTTCAAAATCCAAAATCCAAAATCCAAGATATAAAATAAAATAAAAACGATACCAAATTAAAAATGATTCTCGACATTTATTACCTAAACTTATAAATAAAACCAAATTCTAGATCATGAGATCAATTAAATATATTAATTCAATTAAAAGGTTAAGTTTCTAGGTTGTATGTTAGGGCTAATTTCAAATTAGATACTAATTTAATCTAAAGCTCTCAAATAAGACACTAATTTATATAGTTATGACACCAATTTACATAACTAGACTCATTCAATCCATAGCGATGTATAATGCTATCCTCTAATTCATCTGTATTGATTATCTTTCCCGTATTTTTAAGGTTCAAACTTAGTGTGATCTGTATCTTTCTTTGATGCTATGAGATGGAGTACTCATCAATGTATCTATTTATGGTAATAGGACTCATCTTTAGTCAGTCAAACTATAATTTGACTAACTCAATCTCTTTTCATTTTTATTTTTAATATTAACTCATTCAAATCAATTTTTTATTATGCACTAAAGTAATAATACCGTATCATAAATTTAGTAGTGATAAAATTGAATAATACTAGTCAACAAACATTAATTCAACCTAAAAAATATAAGCTTCTAAGCTGAGCCGCAGGTAGAGGCACCGAACAGAGTGTGCCTCCGAGGAAAGTGGGCCACAGAAGAAAACATTCGGGGTGGAATTGTGGGTATGCCTCGTATTTGGTGTGCGTGACTGTGCTCGGCCCAGACCGGCACAACGTGTATTCTCACTCTCTGTCGTCACCAACAAGTCATCCGTAGACTGCGATTGAGTGCGACAAGTCACTGCCACTACGATTCAACAAAGCTTTGTCAATCACGGTTATGTGTCTGTTGCCGTGATAAATGAGTTTCTTCCGCGAGATTTTGCGAAGCATAACCACCGCACTAGCAGTAGGACGGACAAATCAAAGAAGGCCTCCAAAATGATGTACCGAGTTTGCAGAGGAGAGGGGCGCCTCACAAACAACGTCACGTCATCATGAAGCTTTATTACCGTTTATCCAATCTCGTGTCCAATAATATTTCGTCTCACGTTCCAAAGAGAACGAACCGTCGCGAGGGTACTTTTCGGAGGAGGGAGAAGCGAAACGTTTAATCGATCATAGCCGTCCGTCGATGCGCATCAAACGGACCAGATTCACCAAAACCGCATTCGAGTTGACGCCGTGGTTTCGTGACGGTCGACGTCGACAAGGCCTTCCGAAGAGAGCATACACGAAGACGTGATTCAATTTTTCGCCATTTTTTCTTTTCGTTTCTTTCTTCTGTCTCTCTCTAACGTCTCTTTTTTGTTTCTCTGTCTAAAATTTACATCCTAAACATTTTATAAAAGAACAAAAAAAAGTAGAAGCGTCCATTTTACATCAGACGGTGGGCGCCCACGAAAGATCCAGAAAATCGGGCGGCGCACAGAGCACGTCGGCATAGTCGAACAGCCCTCCGTCGTAGAACACCCCATCCTCGGCCGCATCCGTCGTATCCACCCTATCATCCGGCCCAATCCCCAAGTCGAACCCGTCGTAGTAGCCGGTGATATCGTCGTCCAACCCCCAGATCTGTCCGAACACGACCCCCTCCACCGCGACTCCTTCCGCGGCGGGGTCGTCAGCCGCAGGAGCCTCACCACCATCGTCCGACGAGGACTGCACCGGCGGAGGCAGTCCGAGCTCGTCATCGGAGGCTTCGAGGAGGAATCCCAGATCCGGCTGGTCGGTCTTCACCAATGCCCGGGTGGGCGGCGGCGGCGGCGGGGAGGAGAGAGCGATCTCCTCCTCGAGGCTCTTCATGACGGAGGCGATGTCCTGGTCTCCGGCTTCAGCGTCATCGTCGAGGATGTCGAGGAAGAGATCGTCTCGGAGGCGCTTGGCCTCCGGCGACTCCTGCTCTTCCGCCTCGTCGCGGCGCCTCTTGCGGTCGCGCGAATCCTCCATCGGAAAACTCAGAACGGGAAGCGGAGAAGATGGGAAAGAGCAGTAAGCAGACACCGCTGAGCGCACGGTGGAGGGGGAGGGCGGAGGTTGGGCTTATATAGGGGAAGAGGGTGTATTCCTTCTCCGAAGGATCTTTTCGAATAAGAGCGAAAGAAACATATGAAATGCACTAAATGTACAAAAAGGCGTGAGTTAAGGGTGTGAACCGTAAAAAGGAAGAAGAAATATATTATTATTAACTGTGATTGAAGTCCGGAGCTGCCGTCCGCATGGGGACCACCACTCATCCCAACGTTCTGATCTTTGTTTGTTTTTAGTTTGCCTCTCTCCTCTCTCTCTCTCTCTCTCTCTCTCTCTCTCTGTCTCTCTGTGATGTGTGGAAAGCCATCTGCTGCGGTGTGATCGAGATGGGCTGTCTGTGTTTGACCATTTTGGTTGGACCTGATAAAATTGAATGGATCAAAGGATGATGGATGCCAATCTGGTCGCAGGACGCCATGAAATTTGAACGGATCAAAGGATGATGGATGCCAATTTGGTCGCACCTACTCGCTGAAGATTCGGGGTTGGCGCCACTGCGAACCCCCCAAGTGGTGGTTGTTGCTCGTACGCGACACACGCTTGCCGTCGAAAGAAGGAACTCAGCAAACATAGGAACCACCAAAGGAACCATGCAATCTGGCGTGTAGCCACCTCGTTCATCGGAACAGGAAATCTCGTGCCTTTGTCGCACAAGGATAAGTCGAAAGGCACTTAGGAAGTGAAACGTGGCGCGATGACCGCCGGACACGTCACCGGGGGACGCCTCGAAGCTCGCGCGCGCCGAACCACCGCCCAACCGCGTCGAGCGGTTCGGGATGACGGGTCCGAGCGACGTACATGTGGAGGGGGAGGTCGTCACGTGAGTCACGGTGTTTTCGGGCGGTGGGCCCAAGTGGGGACCACATGAGGGCACGTCCCCGCGAGTGAAATAAAAGGAAAAGTAAAAAGAATGGGCGGGAGAGGAGGGGCAGAGGGAGGAGACAAAGACACTACCCGCCAGAAACCTGCGTCGGACTGTCGCCGTCAGAAAAAGCAGCGTGGTCCGCTATCGTTTCTTAGTTTCGGGCCTCAGGGAAGGGAAGCGTTTCTTCTTGTATTAATTTTTGATGGACGTCGTAATTTTTGACGTGTATCGATATGGATGTTTAAAGTTAATTAAATAAATAAACAGTGGTCATAAAATTTAATTATCATACTATAGAATCAATTAGAAACTAAAATATTAAGAAAAATTAATTTGCGAATCAGTTCAAAATAATATCCAAAATTGAATTATTAAACAGGAGACGAATTAGGGGGAAAAGTTTCTCATTATGAGTTTGTCTGTCCCTTTTTATTCTTCTCTCTTAGTATTTGTTTTTTTTTTTTTTCAACTCTTCGTATGCACTACTAACCTGTAATTTATATTATATTATATAATTATAATAATTTATCTAGATTTAAGTTTATAATATTTTTTTAGATTTATTAAAAATATTATAACTAACATAAAAGTTCAAGTTATTTTGCATGTTCTTCTTATTTATGAATCAATAAAAATATTTATTTAGGACCCACTAAGGACGATAAACTAATTTATAATATTTATTTTTGCAGTTAAATATTTTACAATATAAACTTACAGTATAAAAAATACTGTAAAATTATATAAATAAAAGACCAACAGTTTGTGATTTGTGTGGTCAAAAATATTTTAGAACAAAAAGAACACGAAGATGGATGAGAAAGATAAAAAAAAAAAAAAAGGGGGGATATCAATCGAGAAAAATCGGGACAAGATCAAGACATTCCGAACTTATCTCATGGTGTGGGTGGAGACAGTGAGAGAGAAACCCCAAGAATAGCCGTCGCGAGCAGTGGTGTGACGGGAGACGGGTTAAACGCATGGGATGGATTACCAGTCTTTGCCGCAACTTTATGTGGCTGTTGACTTCATTCACATGTATGTATGAATGTTTGTTTGTTAAGCATCTAAAAATCATGATCGTAAGTATACGGTCCTGATGGAATTAATTGGGTTCGTCCTTATCCGACAACAACTCGTGCCGTTTCATTTGGATTGTCTTCGTTGACCCTAGTATGAGATTCATGGCCAGGAAATTGAAAGCTCGCCTTTTGGGACCAAGTGGGAACTATTTGACGATAGCAACTCCGTCACTCCATCTGCCGATTGCCCATCGCGTTGAAAAGTTTACAATTTGTGTGTGGAATTTCTTAGCTACTTAAACTTTGTGTTATTAGCGATCACATCAAAGTCTTTGTCATCATACAAAGCAGCACATTTATCTTTTTCTTTTTCATTATTTTATTTAATATTTAATTAATACATTTGTACGACAGGAAACAGTCGTTCCGCATGGAGTGCACGCAAGTTCCGCATGGAGTCCAATTCACCAGTAATCGGTGGGTACGATCACCTGAAAAGAATTTTATATATGATAACAATTATGTATATTGTTTTCTAGGGAAAGATAGATGGGTCTACCTTTGCTTATATATATATATATATATATATATATATATGTCGGAGAACTTCGATAGTATTATTCAATATTTACTATTTTTCCTCCCACAAAAAAAAGAATAATTTTCTGTGCGCGGAGAGATTCGCTTTCGCAGAGTTGGACAGATGATTGATTATCTTGTAAAATTGTGTTAAGAGGCGTATTCAATAAAAATATTTTTAATGCTTATATCAGTAATAAAATCAAATGATTTGAAATAGTAATAAAAACTAGATATTCTCTGATGTAGTGATTAATAGTAGAAACATTTATACTGATCATTTAATGATCATGAGATTGTACATCAAATCATCAAGCTTTATAATTAAGAGAGAACGACCCGTTTTAAAACTAAAGATTATTAATTTTTATCCTAATTAAAGAAAATATTATATCAATGTCATGTTATGAATCCAAATAATATATTGATTGTTAAATGGGTATGATGTGTCATAGAGTTACTTGCATGTCATATTTTTCATACTAAAATCTTATTATAAATCAAACTATACATAATAAACCTTAGAGGACTTTTACAGTTTAACATTTAATATTTCTTAGTTATGATCCTTTTATCAAAGTGGATATTACAATCTGTGGAGCAACAAAGACCCCACATCCAGCATATTGAGGCTAAATAGGAAGAAAATTAAAAGTGTATCTATTTAGGTGAATTTCTCGAAAAAAAGAACTTTTTTTGGAGTATCACAATTTTAAAAACTTATCGTAGAATTATCCTAAACATATGAAAAGATCGTTTTAGGTCTCTCTCTTTCTTTTTAGAATCCACTGTCATCTCCTTCTCCTCTTTACACTCTTATTAGCTAAACCCAAGGATTTTATTGTCTACTCTAATTATTCTCATCAAATTTTAGAGACATCGTACAGAAGACATAAACAATTAAGAGAGAACAATCGATACGACGAAGGACGATGATCGATAAAGATAAGATGATTATTAAAAAAAATATATTATTTAAAATTTTTTGAAAGTTAAGATCCTGAAAAAAATTTTCAAACTTATAATTTCTTTTAAAAAAAACCTTTCAAAATATATAATTATAAAGAAAGGTGAAAGAAAATCTTTCTCCGAAACAGCACATCAAAATAGTCTTATTTTGCCATTCTACTTGATTTGTCTTGTTGATTGATGAGACTCATCCAGAACTTTGACTTCTGTATGTATTATTGTTGGCCCCCACATATATAGGTGGCGTTGTGCGATTGGGAGGACGCGGAAGTGATGCTTCCGAATCGCGCCGTGTAATTACTCCTTGCAACAATTAATATTATCCACCGCTAGTAAATATAGAGATAGATAATGAGAAATTTATTCAGAAGCTTGTATTCTCCATGGATTAGAAACTTTATTCACAAGGAGATCAACTCCCCACGGACAGTCTTGATTTAACTTGTCGGGACGGAATCTTAATCTTCTAAATTCCTGCTAAAGATCTAACTGAGCGAGTTTGGTGTGCGTAAAACACGAAGCGAAACTTGTTCCTTTCACTTGCCGCCCTTCCACATCTCGGTGCCAATTATCTGACCAACAGGTATCTGTGAGCTACAAGCCAACTTGACTACCGTTGGCTGCTTCTGTAGAGACGGCTGCAGGCAGGAAAGCTTCGACAACACGCAAGCAAGCAAGCTAGCAATCCGCGCCACGGAATTCCAAACACCACCTCAATCCAAATCGTCCTAATTCTTCTTCTAGAATTAGGTCTCCAAACTCTTCGAAACCAGTGCTCGTCGTGATCGACAGCACACGCGATGCGTGTTTCGTGTTGGAAACACGGGAAGAAGGATAAGATTGGGTTCGGCCTTTCTTCGTCACCTCAGTGTAAACGTGATGTTGGGTTACAGAGTCGATGCGCGAGATGCCGACGAGAAGCTAAACACGTTACTTATAAACACGGACGGAAGTATGCGCGGGTTTCATTGACTTTGGTGGTGCCTATCACTGTTGGCAAAAGCAAAGGACGGCTTAGCCCTCCTCCTTGAATCCCCACGTGAACCTGCTTCGCATTGGAATACTTGGGATGTGCATCCCGAATCTTCCATGGGAACTACTGTCCAAAGATCTCTATATTAGATATTATCTATCATCGGAAGATGCTGGTGATAGCTGAATCAATTCGCTTTGATTGAATGCGTGTATATAAAAAACCTTCGAGATGCATCTAAGGGGTCTCTGGCGTTAGATGTAGTGCCAACCTAAAAAGATTAATCCGAGTAGGGTCGTCGATCCTTTGATACTTAAATTAGTAATAAAATAAGGTATGAAAAGATATAAATAAATTATGTTTGATCATCATTAGTATGGTCTAGTGGATCCTATATAATGAGTCCAATAAAATAAAAATATTTTATGATAGGAAGGAAAATATTTAGAAAATTTTGTTATTCAACTAATATTTATGTGGCTTAGTTGTTGATTGGAGCTTCGATTTTCTTAAGCATTTTTTCTATTAGATATATTTATATATATTAGATATATGAATATGTAAAAATTATATATACCATGTGTTCTTGCTC